TGAATACTGGGTGTTTAAACTCTGATGCCATTTCCCCTTTCAGATTTGGATGTTGTTATTTACAATCCTTGGATTATACAGGCTGGTGTGCTTCCCCCATGTGGAATTAGTTGGTGGCTCACTTAGATGGCTGCTTGTTTTAAGACAAACTTTGAAGACCCTGGATGCTATTCTAACTGACATCTTGGCACCATCTGTTTTTTTCACCAAACTTTGCTATAGCACCCATTTTTCTCAGTAATCTCTTCATGAGAATGAACATCGAGCAGGACCATGTTATAAAAACTAATCGTTCAAAACAAACAAACAAAAAAACTAGCTAATCATTCTTAGATTGGGGCTAGAATTAATTGCAAGCCCAAAATCCACTCATATAAACTATGGTTTATACAAGAAAAACAAAACAAAACAAAACAAAACAAAAAATGGAAAAAACTCCGCTGGGCGGAGCTTTCATAATACACATTTTTACCCACTAGGCAAGCATCAAGAAACACTCTCTGAGTTAGTGAACCCAGTGACATTGCCTTGGAAGGTTCTCTCTGGTCATAGTAATTTTTTCCTAAAATAGAGTTTCGTTCGAACCTCATTTTTTTGTGATGGCCAATTTAAGAAAAGAATGTGCCACTGTGAAATTATGTTTCCTGCTCAGGAAAAGTGCTACAGAAACTGCTGTGATGTTGAACACAGTTTACAAGGACAGTGCTATGGGAAAAACTTAAGTGTATGAGTGGTTTTCTTGTTTCAACAAAGGTGAAATGTGGAGAGATGACAAACCTCTTTCTGTATGTCCGTCAACTTCCCGAACAGATGAAAATATCAACACAATTCATGCACTTGTGCTCAAAGACCAACAACGGAATATTAAAGAGATGGAAAAGTTATCTGAACTATATTGGAGCTCGGTTCAGTGAATTTTAATGGAAGATTTGGGTCGCTGTGAAATTTGTGTCTCGGGATCTAACTGACCAGGAAAGAGAGTATGGAGTGGAAACATGCTGTGCTTTTAAAGAACAATTCCAAAGTGACCCAGACTTTTTTTTTCAAAGGTAGGACTGGTTACAAGACATGGTGCTATTCTTACAACCCTAAAAGCAAACATCAATCAAGCCAGTTGAAGACACCATTTTACCAACCCATAAAAGCTTAAGTAAAATCAAAGATCAAGATGATTCTCATTTCTTTTTTTTCTTTTTTTTGATGTGAGGGGAATAGTGCAATTGGAATTCACTCCAACAGGTCACACTGTTAATCAAGCTTTCTATTTAGAAGTTCTGAATTGCTTAACAGTTTGCGACCAAAATAGGCCTGATTTGTGGCAGACGGGGGACTGGTTTTGTCACCATGACAATGCACCTGCTCACGCAGCCATCTCAGGGTGGCAGTTTTGGGCAAAACCCAGCATGCCTCTCTTGCCCCATGCACCTGACTCACCTGACCTTGCAACGTGCGACTTCGTTTTGTTTCTGAAAATGAAGAAGGACATGAAAGAACAGTGATTTGAGGATGTAGAAGTGGTGAAGAAAAAACGAGGGGGATGTTGTCAGCCATCCAAACAGATGAGTTTGAAAAATGTTTCCAGGAATGGAATCACAGATTTGACATAGTATTAAGTGTAATGGAGAGTATTTTGAAGGTGCTAAGGTTGTTTTGTAAAAAAATTTAAATACATAGCTTTGAAAAAATTCTGGTTTTAGGGGAGTGCCCCCTTATATATCTCCAGTTCATTTCGAGATATCATTATCACATTATGATAGAGAACATTATAAATTATCCTCCTGGGGTATAAAGTAATTCTTTTGATTGTGTCATTGATTTAGCCAATTGTATAGAATCTAAAACACTGTTGAACAAAAGGAAATTATACAAGTATAGGTGGACTTCAGACTACAATATATGAATTGTTGACTTATTCAGATTAAACTCTAAACTGACTTGACACTATTTACACAAAAAAGAGGGGTTGGGAATAAGACAAAAATTTCAATAACACTCATTCACAAAGGCAGAGCCATGTCTACAAATTTAATGCGTAAGAATGCAAGGAGGATATTAAAATAGCATATATATGGTAATTCTAGGCAACCATTTATTGTGCACCTCGAAGCAAGGGATCCGAAGTCCAATGACTGTCAATTCCATAACTTTGGAAGAGCAGTCATATGCTTTTTATCATACTAGGGTGTTTCAACCATAAGTCCAAAGTAGTATGTCAGTTCTGCTATTGGTGAGGTTGAGGTAAAGCTAAGTTCACTTAATGGGGTTTCTACATCAAATCCCTCTTGGGTGGTCTATGAAGGATGTTGTGGTCCTTAAAAGTCAGTGTCTAAACTGCCAGAATTCTATAGCACACAGCCTGGTTAAACTAGGTTATAAGTATCCAAATAGGAACATAGTACCGGGCACATTCTCCCCGTAGGTTCTAGTAAGTATTGTTAAGTATTTTTCCCCTGATGGGGGGTTGCTCCTCCCGGTTTACCCACCAACATGCCCTCTTCCACATTTTGACTTGAATTTCCATTAAGGTTCTTGTGGTAGTATCTGTCAATTTGGGGACATTAGCACAATGTTGTATGGAAGTCTCTGGTTGTTTTAATATTCTATTTTTATCACTAATTTTCGGAGATTTGATAATCATGTACTTATCTGTGGTTTTCTTTTTCTTGAGATTGAGATGCTTGGATCAGCATATTTATTGTTTTCATCAAAATTGGAAACACTCTGGTCATTATTCAGCTTCATTCCCTATCTCCTGCCAACTCTCCAGAACTTCATTTACACATTTATGATGGTGCTTAGTATTTTTAATTTTGGATCATTTATCCGGCTGTCTTCAAAATTATTATTTCTTGTACAATGACTACTTTGCTGTGAATGCCATCTAATATATCTTTCATCATTGAGAGTTGTAAAGTGGATCTTTTTTATATCATCTTCTATTACTCTCATTATGCTTATGCTTTCTATTAATTTCTTCAACATACAGAGCATATTTTGTATATTTCTAGTAGCTTCACCATTATCCACTAATTTTATTATGTCTTTTTTTATCTGCTTTTGCAAATTTATTTTTCTCCACTCCACATATTGGGATATATTCTTGTTTCATTTCATGGTTATGGTTATGAATTCTTCATTGAATTCCACATAATGTGATTGTATATTAATGAGTCTTCAGTTTTTTAATATTAAATATTTTAAGAATTTTTTCAAAGAAATTATGAACACCTTCTAGTCTTGCTTTTAAATTCTGCTAGAGATATCTATAAACCCACTGTTCTCAATTTGATTCTGATTTATAGTAACTCTATGGGACAATGTAGAATTTAACCCAGTTTCTTTCAAAGGCTATAATCTCTATGAAAACATCCTGCCACGTCTTTTTTCCCCCACAAAGCAGCTGGTGGGCTCAAACCATCTACCTTTCAATTACCAGCCAACCACTTACCTACTGTGCCACAGGCGTCCAGAGAAGCCTGTGTTCTAGGGATCATCTCATTCCACATAGAAGACAAAGTTCTTCTATGTCGCTACATCATTTCCCATTTATTAGCAGATCCTTTACTCTAGTAAAACCCATTGCCTTCCCTGTGTCAGCTCCAAACATTTTAAGTTTGGTGTTGTGGTTCTTTCCCACCCTTAATAGTTTCTTCATTTCTATATTTTCCTAGTCATTGTTGTTGGGTTTGTTCGCCTCTTGTCTGTCTTTGTATGATTTTCTGTATATGAAATCCAGGCTAGGTAAATCTATAGAGACAGTAACTGGATTAAACATTACCTAGGGACATGGCAGGGGAGGATGAGCTAACAATGAGTACAAGAATAAGTTCAGAAACGTATTGTGGTGATGATCGCACAACCATTCTTAATCCGATAGATTAAATTGTATGATGTGAAGTATATACCAACAAAACTTTTTTATTCACATGCATAGACGGATACATTTTCACTTTTTACAGGTCTCCGGACCTCTCCATGTAGCCCTCTTCTGTAAGGTACTTTGTCCCACCAATTCTGGCTGTCTTTGCCTATCTTTACTGTAAACTATTTCCTCAGCATGAGAAGACTACTGAGATGTATTTGGCTTCCCTTTCTTGGTACTGTGAACAGGAAAACCTCACGAGGCCATGAGCTGACCCATTCGAGAGTTCATATTATTTGCTTCTCTTCTCCAAGATCACTGGCATGCTCTGCCAGTTGTCCATCTTTCCCGGAAGCAAAAGTCCCTTCCTTATTCTCTTTAAAATGTTAGTAAATCTCTATCCACTGAGAGATTTTATTTTTATAAACAGTTAAGAATCAAAATCAATCTGAATCCAGGGGGAAAAGCCTTCTGAACACCTGGTTTGCAGAAGGCTATGGATGACAGTGGAACCAAAATCTATTTGCAGGGTCCCCACGTGGATTAAGTCTCTGTGAATCCCCACTCACCACAGTCCGGGGATTTGAAGAGCCTTGCTATCGATCAGCTAGCATTGTCAAGTCCATTATAGCAGAAGGGGTGAGGTTAAAATGTAGCACCTTATCATTTGATCTCTCTTTTGACCCAATTTAAAGTTGTTTCAGTTCTTAATATTTTCTGCTATCTTTTCAATTGAGGTTTTTCTGTTTTGTTTGATCATTGTTGCCATTGGTTGCATTTGGATTTTTGGTTTGTATTTTGTATGATTTTCTGTATATGAAATCCAGGGTGGGTGAATCTATAGAGACAATAACTGGATTAATAATTACTGAGGGGCATGGCAGGGACATTGGGGGGAAATGGGAAGCTAACAATGCGTACAAGAAGAAAATGTTCTGAAACTGATTGTGGTGATGATTGCAGAACTCTTTGATATGACTGAATAATTCAATTGTATGATATGTGAATTTTACGCCAATATAACTATTTTAAATATTGCCAGAGTCAAATTGATTTATAAGAGGGATCAAATTAGGAATGACTAAAAGAGCAAAAATTATTTCCTGGGCAGCTTACTAATCTCTTTTCTTTTATATAGGTACAGGACACAATACCCAATCCTAGGCCTCCTATATGATGACTATGAATATATACCACCTGGAAGTGACACACAGACTATTGTGATTGAGAAAACAGAAAATAAATGGAATTGCGTAAGTTATCTTAGACATTTCTGGTACAATTTTGACTATATCTTTTGGGATACTTAGTCCACCGCATGCACAGGTACTGCCCATCTATCAATAGAGTCATGGGTGTTGCTATGATGTAAAGCAGGTTTCAAGCTAATACAATAAGAATTTAAAACATTTTCCTATGGAGCATTTAACCCTGCTTAAAGTCAGTTTAGAAAAACATGCCTGGCAATGTGCGTCTAAAAATCAGCCAGTGAAAACCCTATGGCTCACAAGTGTGATTTGCAACCAATAATGAGAAGAGTGGAGTGAGTGTTGTCATCCATTAGTCATGGGGTTGCTCTCAGTGGAGATTGATGTTATGACAGTGACAACACTACAGCCAAGATATTCTGAGTGACGGAAATGCCCCTCAGATGCAATGGGACCGAAAAAGTTTGAAAACACACACAATCCTATTTAAACATCATGAAAATGGCAACTCTTATTTTTGACATTAAAATTTCCACCTAACAACTGCTCAAGTATTAAAAGTAGGTAAAACTAATCTATGGTAATAGAAATCAGGAAGTGGTTTTCCTTGAGTAGGTATCAATCAGAAAGAAGTATACAGAGGATTTCACGAGTGCTGAAAAGTGTTCCTGAATTGGATGTGGTTACTCGGTATATTGATTTTGAGAAAATTCATTTTATAACTATATATAGTTTCTATGCATTATACTCCAATAAAAGTCTTAGATTGCTTAGAATCACCATGATCAAAACTATACAAAAGTAAATCTAGTATTCGCTAGAATGTCTTAAAGAAATTTAAGAATTATACTGCATATGTAGGTAATAAAACTAATCACAAGTTCACAAATAATTCACATGAAAATTATTTCTTCTATTGTTGAAAAGCTCAAAATATTCAAGTGCACAAAAAATATGGAATGTGTTTAACCCTGAAAGCTAATGTTTTCTAACCACAATTAAGCCAACAATCTTGTAAATATGGGTGTCTATTATCAATGAGAGCAATGTGTAGGTAATCCCCAAATAAAAATAATTAAATCGTTTTAGCCTTAAAATTTGTATTTCTGTTATGTAGGTAATTAATTAGTTAAGAAGTATATACTATTATTGATAAATGGTACTGTTGGTCCAAGAACCATATATCCAGCAAGGGCAAGTTAGCATAGTTTAAAAGTTGACACTGAGATAATTTGATGCTGAAAATTAAGACTGAAGAATAATTATTGCTACTAATGGCATATCCATCAGAGGTGGCTTAAGTGTAAGGGCCTGACAAATAAGGAGTCTTTAAGATAAAAGAGCCCTGGTCGTGCAGTGGTTAAGCACTATTCAGCTAAGTAAAAGGTTGGTAGTTTCATTCCACCAGTCACACTGCAAGAGAAAAGTATGACAATCTGCTTTACTCAAGATTACCACCTCAGAAACCCTACAGGGGAATTCTACACTCCTCTTACAGTTACTATGAGTAGGAATCAATTTGTTGTCAATGGATTTATAGAATAATAGACATTGCTTCCTTCTTCATTAGAATCATGTAGCAATAAATATCAAACTTGATATCCCAATGGACTATAAAGACTGATGATGAATTCCCAATATATTAAGTTCATATATATATATGTAGTTAGAGATTTGGGGCCATACCTAATCTCTAAATAGGTAATCAAGCAGGAAATATATCGTATATACACTTAAGTATAAGCCGACCCGACTATCAGCCGAGACACCTAATTTTACCACTAAACTGCATTAAAAATGTGCTGAAAAACTCAGCTTATACATGAGTATATACAGTACTCAATCATATTTGTCTCTTGTTTAAAACCATTTTAAACATATACCTCGAATAGATCAGCTAAGCAAATTATTTTTAACCAAAACCAGATGTAAAATAATCTTTCTTTTTTATTTTCTTTTCCAGCCATGAATGAATCCACTTTCAAATATTACAATTCGAAGAAGTTTTGTTGTGTCTGCATTATTACTTTAGTTGTTCTTTTTCCGCCCATAAAGGCCAATAAAATATTTGACTCTTGCTATAACCAACAACTCTAGTGGAACAGAGTAGTTCTGCAGATGGATTCCTCCAGTCATTTACAGAACTGGAATCCCCTAAATCACACATATATATTCAATATAGCAAGAAACTTAAAAGAGGGATCTTCTTTGATTAAACTTCGATTACAGACATTGTAGAACACAATATACTATTTTTCTGCTAAGGATTTTTTTATACTGAATTAGTTTGTTGTGGGAAAGATTTTACAACTTATTCATTAGACAATTTTTCTCTGAAATTATATGTTTAACTCAGCTATAAGATTAGTGTTTTAACAAAAGAAGGAAAAAGACAATTGAAAAACAAAAGCAATTGAACTAGTGCATGATATATAGCATAAAAATATATTTTGTTGCATTAAGGCTTGTGGCTGAAGGAGATGCTTTATTACATACTATTTGCATAACTAAATCAAAGGTGATGGTCCATTTTATTTAGCAGGGAAGAGGGATATTATCTTTTAAAATAACTAAATCCACAGAATTTACATATGTAAGACTGGTTCTAAGTGCATAACAATACATTGGTAAATCTGTCCCTTCAATGCAAAAGCATGGATCCCCCAAATGAGTCTACCCACTACCTTAAAAAGTTAACACTATATTGTAATAGTGGGTGGAAAGCAGGCAGGCTTTTTATATTGTTGAACATAATTTAACATTAAAATACTACATACCAAAAACAAAACCCCAAGAAAACAAAAAACTCACTAATCAATGTTGACTCATAGCGCCCCCCTGTGGGTTTCCTAGACATAGGGACAATAAAAAGCTCAAGGAATAAATATATCAACAACAAATAGTTTATAGGTCTTTCCTACTTGGGACAAATCTATTTTACAGTAGGTTGTATTTAATGTGCTAGAAAAGGGTTAAGGAGCTCTGGTGGTATATTGAGTTAGGTCGGCAGTTCAAACCCACTCCTCGGGCTAAAGATGAGACTGTCTACTTCAGTCAAGATTTATAAAGTCTAAAAATCCAAAGGAAGCATTTCTACCCTGTCCTACAGAGTAATATAATTCTAATATAAATTAGCATCAACTTGAATAAGAAATAGGTTGATTCATTGAGCTCTACAGGAGCCTTCCCTGCATAGTTGATTACCTGTTGGGCAACTAACCACAAGGTCAGCAGTTCGAACCCAACTGCCACTCTAGATGAGAAACATGACTGTTTCTGTAAAGATTTACATATGTACTCAAAAACCCATAGGGGCAGTTCTACCCTGTCTTATAGGCTCACTATGAGTCCAAATAGACTTGATGGTAGTGAGTTAATTTGTTTTTTAATGACCTTACAAAGAGAACACAAGTAGTTTCTATAAATACATTTGAAGGATGAAATTTCTTAATTCCTACCCTTCTTGCTAAAACGAATATTTAGCAAAAATTAACGTTTATATTGTAAAACTATCAATTAAGACAACACACACAGAAAAGGCAAGTTAAAAAGTATTGCTATTGGAGTTCTAGTTCATACATGCACAGATTCCAAACAAAATGTATTTAAACTTGTCTTTGTGATCAATGGGTGACTGCAGACAAATTTTCAGTAGTACACTTAGTCTGTCTCATTAGGGTACCTTTAAAAAAGCTCCAAACAAAAGTGACTCTGGTCTCTGCAGGGCTAGATTCAAAGCAGTGAGGTCACCTCAGAAGGTTATGGTAATTGTTTAGGGGATTCTAAAAGGTAATCTAGGTAGATTTCTCAAAAGCATAGGAAGTTAATGGGGGAGGGGGTTATTATGAAGTTTTAAGAAAACGGAAAATGACATTGGTCAGGAACAAAGGTCAGGCACGTTGTGTGGAGAATTGTTTTCTATTAGGACAATGCTCTCGTTCTTCAAGATGAGCAAAGATGGTCCTATGATAATTTTGTTGTGAAGTCTTACCCCCATCCACCCTATATCCCTGCTCTTATCGCTTAAGACATCTTTTTGTTCCCCAAACTCAAGGAATATTTAAAACAGAACTTGAATGGGGTGCTTCAAAGATGCAAAGTTGCTATTTTGAAGTGGTATAAATCAGAGTACAGAATTCTCTGGGGATTAGAGAAATAGAAACACTTCCTTCAAAATTGGGAGAGAAACGAAAGAAGTGTGTAGATCTAGATGGAGGATATGTCTAGAAACAATAGCGTCATATTTTGAAATTTTCAATAAAGGACCTCATGAGTCTGTAACAATACTTTTTGTCTTACCCTTGTATGTAAATTTAGTGGATGAAATTTTGCATTTAAATATATTCACAAATAGCTGTACAGAATTCTGCCATACCTTATAAGCTTATTCTAATATTTACTACTTATAATATAGTTATATTTAAAATTGTTAAGATAGAGACTAGGAGTATAAAAATCAAATCTGAAATAAGCAAAAATTATTTTATTATTTTATAAAAAGATTAAATAAGCCTTGATAGGAAACAAAAAACCTTTTATCTTAATATTTTTTGCTCTACATTGATACAATCCCACTTCTGTCAATATTTTGGGATAGAAAATTTTAATATTTTTAAAGAACTAGAGTTCTTACCTTTTTTCCTTTTGGTGTGGTTGCAAAATAGCAGTTTCACTTCTGATAACTACTATATATGTAACTGTAGCCAAAGTATGTTAGCTACTCATTCCAGATGACATCAATGGAAGCTTTCATGACTGCTGCTTAAAAAGTAGACTAGGTGTGACTTTTACAAAATATTCCAAATAATGAAGAAAGTCATGTCCAGAATTTAAGATAAGGTCAGCACTACATTGGCCCACTTGCTGCAGGCACAGTAGGGATGGATGTCCTTATTATACATGCAAAATTTGTAAATGCTAAAGAAAAACTTAATGTTAGAGAGGACTGTTCTATAGTGATGATCATTTGAATATATAGTTTTCTAATGTTTAAGATCCATGGATAACAATGATTTTGTTTTCTCACAATATTTTACCTGCTTAGCTAATTTCTAGAATGTTTTCTTCTTGGATTTATCAAATAAAATGGAGACTGAAATGGA